ATAACTGGTTCTCTCTGCCCGACTCTGGCTGGATCAGCAGGTTGCAGGATGTGTGGCGCGTTATACACGAGTGTTGCCAGGGACAGTGTAAAGTGCGCTCTGGTGGACAAACTATACAACTCCAACACTCATGACATGGTTGAAGCGTGTTTCGTCCGTTTTTATTTTATTTTTGGAAATATTCATTTATCTGCCATTATAACTGCCGATACCGATAGTTTGGAAAATGCCTAATGCCGACAAAATCTGTCTGGCTCTATTTTGCAGTGCATTTTCTTGAAAAGACATATGAAAGAGATATTTGATATAGAAGGAATGGCGCAGAAATCCTTTGAGGGTGATGCTGGATTGAACATTGCAGCCAGTGAGTTTCTGCTGTTGTCTTGCCTCGAGGCCAAATTGATGACTGTTGTGTACAAGCATTGAGGAAGTGAAGTGAACTGGATATCCGAGTCAGTCTGAAATGCTGTGTCCGGTTACACTCATAAAGGAAATATAAACGAAAAAACGAGTAAATGTTCATCACTCTGTCTTCGCTTATCTCAGCCCTGTTGTTGCATAATGTTGGATGTTTTCAAAATTAGTGCATCAGCATCATGTATAAACAGATCATTAATTTTTAAAGTCTGAAGGACAAGTGTCTTGGATCCTGTCTAGGCCTGATATAATCTGATCCGACTTTGCTTGTTTAGTGGGTGTTTGCTACAGTGAATTTGTAAGGATTGAATTAGTGTCTAAAAACCAAGGATGAATCTCAAAACTCTTTGCTCCTAAACTGTTTTTTTGTTTGTTTTTTATTCAAAGTATAATTTCTTTTTATTTTCTGTGAGAGATGACCTGGACATGTTCTTCACTCTTAGATTTTAGATGCTTGTGCTCATCTGAATAATCTGCCCACTTTATTGTGTAAGTGCTTGTATGTTTTGAGTTTTCCATAATGGATCCAAACTGCGGATAATGCCAGCTTTTCCACCGTTGGACCGAACTGTTTTTAGAATGGTTCCAGTTGTATTTCCCCTTGAGCCTGGTATGACACGGCACGATTATAAACCGTTCTCAGCCCGGAATTCTCAGCACGGTTAGCTAACGTCCCGACTGTGCTGGTAGAATCTGTGAAGTGAAGTTGAAACTCGGGATTGCTCACTTTTCAGATAGCACAGGTACATTTTTAAAATGGCTGCTAAAGATCTGTTAATCTGCTGTGTAAAAAACATCTGATAAACTTCTTAGAGAAAGCAGTTTTAAACATCTTAATGACATCATTCTAAATGGCTTTATGACATCTAACAGGAAACTTCCTAAAGACGTTTTGCAGATGAGCAAATACTTCTTCCAGTTGTAAATGCAAACATCAAATAGACGTCTCAGAGATGTACTTGTGCTATCAGGGCTGTATGTTGCCTGGCTACCAGTTTCTCTGTAGCTGCTGGTTAAGCACGTTATTTGAGTGACGTAAAACAAAGTAATAAAAAAATTCAAAGCAATATCTGATCATTCTCCATTATGTGGTTGCTACAGTAAACCATTATGTAACCAAGGCAACGACTGACGCATTGTATTACATTCCAAAGCGCAGCCGTTATCAGCCCCACAGTGGAAACCGTAACCGCACCAGCTGGCCCGGATCGGCATGGAATGGAACGGTTGCGCATTGAAAACCATTCGCACCGACGGTGGAAAATTGGCGTGTGTGTGAGCATGCTGGTTTTAGGTAGCACTCTGTGTAGGAAGCAGACATTACAGCAGCACTTCCTGTCTTCCCCATCCCGGATCTCTGCACAGCTGCACAGTTACAAATATAGATCCAGTGTGGATTGAAAAGCCATCAATACATCCACACACCTCCATCTGCAGGTCAAAGATCAACACATTGACCATGAATACAAAGCCCTGATTCCACTGATTAGTGATTATGTGTGACAAAAACACTGTCCTGCCAGAACAAATCTCACACAGACACACATTATATGATTTGGAAACCTGTCTCAATCTATTTGTCCTTTTGACAATTTTAATATGTCACGTTGATTTGTATTAGGGGTGGGGGGAAAGTCGATTCGATAGATGCATCGCGATGCAAAAGTGGACTATTCTGAAACGATTCATAAAAATAAAAACGTTTTTCTAAAAAAAAAATTGTTTTCTTCTTTTTTTCTAATGTAATTAGAAGCGCAGCGCCCGGACATAACAGAGAAGCATGATGGCTGAGGCATATCAGTGTGGCCTTTTTTCTATTTTTGTATGAGAGCTGCTTTCTGTATTGTTTTGTTTTCACATTAATATGCTGTAAACAGATCTGTTATAAGCTGTTTTTGATTGTGGTATGCAGCAACAATTTGAAGTCATAGCCTAAGTCTTAGACTCTTTATTATTTATTTGTGTACAAGAGCTGCTTTTTATGTTACTAATTATTCAGAATATGCACAAGTCCTCAAGCATTATTTTTGTATGAAAGTTGCTGGTACATAATTATAGTTGTGTATGAAAGCTGTGTGTGATTTTTCTACAGCATAATGCATGTTTATTTTTTGTTTGAAGGATTATATTACTCATTGCACACAACAGGAGGATGTTGGTTAGAAGTCTATTAATTGCTAGATATTCAGAATATGCTGAAGTTTGCATTCATATACTACAAGAATGCTATACTACAGGCACACATTTCTTTTCCTTTTGGTTCTTTGCAATGTTGGGACGTGTGCTGCTGTAACCTTACAATTGACTTCACCAAATCACTCCCATTTGTTTTATTAATAAAAGAAGTAAATTCTTTATGGGTCATTATAAATACTTGGCGTTAAAAGTACCACACAAACACAACAAAATATGCTTCGATAATATTTTTAGCATCGTATACCAGCCTTCTGAATTGTATCGAATCGAATCGTGAGGTACCTAGAGATTCCCACCTCAAATTTTTAAGTATTTGTTCTAAAATGATTTCATAAGGGATAGTTCACCCAAAAATTTAAATGTTTGGCATCACTTACTCACCCTCAAATAAGTTGTTCCAAGCCTGAATTTCTTTCTTTCTTCTGTTGAACTATGACAAAATGTCTTTAAAAAAAAATAAATAAATAATAATAATAATAATAATAAAATATATATATATATATATATATATATATATATATATATATATATAAGGATTAAGCCAAATCAGATCACTAAAATTCAAAAATGCCACAAACGCTGCCATATTCAGCATCTCCTATCTGATGTCTTTCTCTCTGCTCTGCTGTTATTAGGCCGTCTGATGTTGAAACGAGTGTTTGAGCTCCAGTAAGGATACTAGCCTCTTTCATGTGCGCCAGAACAGAAAAATGGACACTTATCTCGCTTTTGGTCTGGCAGCTATTTTTGTTGGTCATGGGGTCTTACTCATAAGTGTTTGCGAGTGTTTGTCCTCTGGGTTTAAAGTCTGCCTGAATGAAATGACTGAGGGTCAGTGACTTGCTGGCTGCTTGCTGATGATTATTGAACAGACTTGGATAATAAGTGTTAGGGCTGCACAGTATATAGAAAGTATTGAAATATCGCATATGTACAGTACATATCGCAACGACTTGCGATAACACCATTTTTTTTTTTAATTCTCCATAAAATTACAAAGAGTCAAAGTTTTAGACTGGACAGATACAGGACTGTTACATGTGACATGCTTGCAATGTTTATAGGGGATTATCACGCTGACACGTAGTACTTCCGCATTCAGTGATCTTTGCGCACTGCCACTTCCGTTGAATCACCGATCACTCTGACGAACTGATGTGATGACGGACTACACTAGGTTTATTTATACGGCATCCCTGGTAAATTAGTCTGATTCACTAAAGTGTCGGTGTTGTGCCAAAAAGTGACGGTCCGCCGAAAATTGATGGTTGGCAGCAGGAGCGCGCAGCGTGTTAAAAATGTATCGCCGATTCTCTATACGAATGCAGTTGCGTTTATGTGGATCAAACAGACATAACATGCAAATAAACATCACTCACCCAGTACTTTTTACCTATTAAAATACCTGTTTTACACAAAAGTCATGATGTCATGTTGAGGTGTCTTTGTTTCCACAGTATTTTCAATTTTGACATTTTTCAGTCAAACCGTTGTTGTCTGTCATACACTGGGTCCACCAAAAAGCATGCACAGAGAAGTCAAAATTAAACATGATTTAATGACTCGTAAACTTTTGAACTTTCTATTCATCAAAGAATCCTGAAATAAAAATGTAAAAAACTGTTTTCAACATGGATAATAATCATAAATGTTTCTTGAGCATCATATTATAATAATTTCTGTAGGATCATTTGACACTGAGGACTGGAGTAATGATGCTGTAAGTTCAGCTTTGATCACAGGAATAAATTACACTTCACTATATATTCACATAGAAAACCTCTGTTTTAAATTGTAATAATATTTCACAATATTACTGGGTTTTTTTGTTGTTGTATTTTTATCAAATATTTGCTGCCTTGGTTAACAGAAGAGACTTCTTCTAAAAACATAAAAAATCTTATCGATCTAAAACTTTTGACCGGTAGTGTGTGTGTGTATGTATGTGTGTGTGTATATATATATATATATATATATATATATATATTTGATGTATTGTATGAACTATTACATAAATGGGTGGAAATGTAGGCTACACTTCATTTCAGATGTTGTGATTTGCCAATTGTAGCTTAAGGTAATTTGCCTTAAAATATCTTCCAATATTGGCCAATTCACATTAATAGTGGTAATAAATAAATAAAAACATGTGGGCTAATACTGATATAATAGTGTATTTTCATTAACTTGAAGCAGAGTAGAGCAGAGGTTTGATGGTTTTCAGAGACTTGTTTCCAGCACAATGGTCCAGGAATGAGCCAAAAGCTCGTCAAACACTTAAGATGAGCGAAACCAAAGACAGGTGTGCAGCTCGTCTCCTGCCAGACATCCGTTTCTTACTGTCTTTTTGTCTTTCTCTCTGCTATCTATCCACCATCTCCCCTCAGATCTGTCACGAAACCGGTTGACGGAGCTGCCGGTGGAGGTGTGCATGTTTGTGTCACTGGAGAATTTGAACCTGTACCAGAACTGCCTTCGCTCAGTACCAGAGAGTCTGATCAACCTACAGTCCCTCACCTACCTAAATATCAGGTCAAATCCATAGACACCACATTTATAAAATACTCAATTTTGTAAATCATTGATATTGAACAGTTTTAAATGTTTGATACAACAGCTAAATGCTAGCAGTGTGTTATCACAAGCTAAACATGCAAAGACGCACACAACCTTTGTTTGTATCTCTTTAAATTGATTTGTTTGTGTCAAAAAATCCAATCCATTTGTTCTTATGAATTATGATTTAAGAAGATTCTGAGATTTTCAACCATGCATTATTTTGCAATTCTAAAAAAAAAGCTTCCAACCATCTAACAAGGAATTCATTGTAATTTACTAACCTCACGAAAACCATATTTTACTGGTTGGTTGGTGCACAGCAAGTGTTAAAGGGATACTCCACTTTTTTTTTGGAAATAGGCTCATTTTACCACTCACCCGTTTTCGAATGTATTCAGCCGATTTTCTGATATTTAGAAGAATATCAGTAACCAGACAGACAGTTTTTGGACTTATTGACTTCCATAGTATTTTTTTTTCCTACTAAGTATGGAATCAATGAGACGAAACTGTCTGGTTACTGATAATCTTCTAAATATCAGAAAATCGGCTGAATACATTCGAAAACTGTTAACACTCAACTGTTTAACTCTGGGGGAGTGGTAAAATGAGCCTATTTCCAAAAAATGTGGAGTATCCCTTGAAGTAGAGGTGTTTGCTAAGGCAAGCATCACTATTACTATTGCTTACACGTAAGGTTAAATGTTTGAACAATCTACAACTATTTCTATTCTGTCATGCACTGCTTGTGTTTCAGACGTAATTGTACTTCATATTTTTCTGCTTTTTGGAGGATTGTGAGGTGTGTTATTACTTTAAGCGATCTGACTCATGAAATTCACCTGAAAGATGGGGAAGAAAAAAAAATCCCACTAACTTGCATTGAAGTCCATATAGAGACATAGAGATGTGGGCTTTTTGGACTTTTGAGTAAGAAACCACCTAGCAACCACTTATTACCGGATTAGTTAGTTATATACTGTTATAGTATGTTCATATAAATAAAATAAAATATGTTCATATTTTGAATCATATTTATTTTTATATTTAATTTTAACATATTAGTAATTTTGTTGCACTTTTGCCATCGCTTTATTAGTTTTTTCATATTTCTATTTCTATTACTTTCTACTTTCTTTTCTTCTTATTTTATTTTGGTTTGTTGCCATGCAACATTTCTAGTAAGTTTAAAAGGGTTAGTTCACCCAAAAATTATCTCATCATTTACTCACTCTCAAGCCATCATGGATGTGTTTATCCAAAGAAAGTAAGTAATATTCATCAGGTATGCATGGAATGAGAGTGATTTAATGATGAGAGAATTTTTCATTGTTTTCAGTTATCTCTTATATAATGGGACAAAACTAAAACTATTATAGCTAAAACCATTAAATTGTTTTTTTAATATTTAAATAAAGCTGAATTTACATAAAAGTATAAATATTATGTTACATTTTTAATGGTTTTAGTTTTCATTAGAACTCTAGCAACCAGAAATTGGTATCACTGACATTCACAGGAAGGTTTCACTGACATTTTCTTATGTCTAGTTTTTGGGCCCTACAGGTTTTAATTCCCATGATTCTCATTTTCTCTCTGCAGTCGGAATCAGTTGTCCACCCTCCCCGCTCATTTGTGCCGACTGCCGCTCAAAGTTCTGATCGCCTGCAATAACAAGCTGGTATCACTGCCGGAGGATCTTGGCAAACTCAGACAGCTCACTGAACTGGTTTGTGGAACAGTTCTCTCTTAAACTCTGTAGTTTATCTTCACATTTTTTCTCACTCATGCACATTACTCTGTCTCTCTCTTTCTCTCTCTTCAAGGACGTCAGCTGTAATGAGATTCAGACTCTTCCTCCACAGATCGGTCAGCTGGAAGTTCTTCGTGACCTCAACATCCGCAGAAACCACCTCGTTCGCCTGCCTCCTGGTCAGAAACGCAGGCACCTGCACCTGTATGAAATGAGTGATGTTTTCTAATAGATGTGTTGTGTCATTTCTGTGTTGATTTGATTTGCAGAGTTGGCTGAGCTGCCTTTGGTCCGGCTTGATTTTTCCTGTAACAAGGTAACGACAATCCCTGTATGCTACCGAAATCTCAGACACCTTCAGAGCATCATTCTGGACAACAATCCTCTGCAGAGCCCACCTGCACAGGTAACGCATGTCCCTGTTTTGATCCACGTTAAACATCCTGTTTTACTTTGAAATGGGGCACTTTATTATTTTCAAAGCCTTTTGAGCCAACTGATTTTCAACTGTGTAATGTTGCTGTTTGAGCATGAAAAAGATCTGCAAATTTACAAAGCATAAAGTCACTAGTTATTTTCTATATCACTAAGCAATGTTTCTGAACTCCCTGAAACTCCTTGATTAGGGCTGGGTGGTATGGTGATGCATATCGTAGTGACGGTATGAAATTTGTGTTTCGTTACAGATTTTGCTATATCGTGTATATTGTGGTATTAAACGTGTGCCGGTATGCGGTAATGAATATGCATGATATTGTTATTGCTGGCACTTCAAAATACTGTGAAAAATAATAGATTTGAATTTAAGGCCCGTACACACCGGGACGAATATCAGCGCGCATTGTTCGTCGGCGTTTTTCAACGCGTTTTTTGTGTTCACACCCAAGCGTTTTTCGCTGACGATGAGCTGAGTGAACATGCAAATTCATTCCCTGACATTAGATAGCGCTTAATGTAAAACAGAAATAATAATAGAGTTCTATACATAGTTCCCACATGACGTCACAACATACGGGCATTTGCCGACCCGGCGCCATTGCTTAGGGCAAAACATAAGAAGAAGCAATACGAGTTGAACGAAGTGAAATGAGTTTCGTGCTATAAAGTGAAAATGGTCATCTCCTGCTGGGTCAATGGATGATAAAATCGTGCCGGAGGTTCAGTTAAATTGGGATTTTACACTATACCCGTCATTAGACTCCATATGGATTAGGGCTGGGCAAAAAAATCGATTTTTCGATTAATCGTTTTTTAAAATGTGGTCGATTCAAAATCGATTCTCAACGGCCACGAATCGATTTTTTTCCATATAAAGGGCTCGCGGACGCGGTGCTGCATCTTCTCGTCTCTCTGCACTAGGCAAGCGCTAAGCGCTGCAGCTGTCGATACACACACGCGTTTAGGAGTCGGGACACGACGGAATATTCACTTGCACAATCGGGCCAGCATTGCATCGTGACCTATGATCGTAACTAACATTTATCATTCATTTGCTCAAGCAATGTTAAACCATCCCGTGCTCGCGCACTCTCAGAGATGTCTTTCACTGCGTGCACAGTAACGTTACAGCCTAAATCCGCCTCACAAACAGCTCGCCAGAAACAAAAGTTTTATCCCTGGATTATATCACTTTAACAGTTAAAACACGCGACATTATGTCAAAACTCTGGTCTTGGTGAGTAACCTCGTAAAGACAGTCGGTAATGTCTTAAATTAGCATTAAACGCGTGTGACAGAAAGTTAATGAAACAGTAATGGATTCGCGCACTAGTTCTTAAAGTGAACGCAGCCATTTGTGTCAGTCATTAATTCTGTTGTCATAACAACAGAATATAGTATTAATTGTAAGCAATCAGAATTAATAGCCTTTGTATTTAATTCAGTCTGGATTCATACCCAAAAAACTACCCCAAAATGTCTCTTAATTTGTGTCTTTATTCTATTGTATTTATTTGTGCTACTTTTTTCAATTTAATTCAAAGATTGAAATCAAGCATCCATACATAAACTCTTAACAAAAAAAAATACATTAACATTTAGGTAAGATCAATGTAAAAAATCTAAATATTTATATATTTATCTATCTTAAACATAAAATAACATGATACTGTTTGATCAAGCTGTGCGACTGTTCTGTGCGACTGTGCGACTCTTTTTTGCATATTGCATCAAAATCTTTGTATGCATTTAGTGTACCTAAAATAAAAAGAGTTTTATATACAGGTTTATGGCTCTTAATTTTCTTGTATTAATTAACCACTAGTAAACTTATGTCCACTGTTCTTTTTTATAAATTATAAATATAGGATTTTTATTACATCTTCATTATAGTTGAATCGAGAATCAAATCAGGAATCGAGAATCGAAAATCGAATCGAGAATCGAAATCGAATCGAACTGAGAGCTTGCGAATCGAAATCGAATCGAAATTGAAATGTGAATCGATACCCAGCCCTAATATGGATGTGAGAAGACTAAGCTTTTGTCCGAACAATGACGGAGATTATGGCTGGCGAGCATAAACAGGAAAGAAACTCACTCAAAACACGCAAGAATTTGTTTGACAAAAGCACAATGTTGTGTTTTATTGCGAGTGTAAATAAATATAAGTTAACACATTGCAGTTTGAATAATGTCCTGTATGAACAAAATGACGAGGTATTAAAAACATACAAAACAACATTGTTTCCACTGTTTGATCTCACATTCCAGCATTGCAATCTCAGATTATGTCCCTAAAGATCCCGCGTATAATGTAGTTCCTCATTACATTAATTAAATTGCACGCGAGTTATTTATTTTAATATTCATGCACCGAACCATGACGCCCGCAAGTACATGCATATTACAGAAATCACCGGTGACTGGGGAACATAGGAATTAAGTTGTGCAGGCTATGGCTTTTTAATAGACAGATTAGCATCATGCTACTTCGCTATGATGACTTAAGTTACTTTTCCATTGATTGCACTTGAGCAAACGTCACCAAACCAACCCCACGTCAATCTGATCGTACACCTCCAGTGATTTCCAGGCTTGGAATTGCTCACATGTGTAAAAACTCCTCACCAATACCAGATAATTGTACACATGAAAATACTGTATCTGAGGCAAAGTTGCATAATCGGTGCTCAGTGCTTCTTTTGTTGCATAAGGATACACACCATTTATGAATGAAATTTTCGCATTGTACCTCTCTATGTCTTGTTTTAATAGTCTCTTTATAATCTATTACACTTTGTCTTTTCATGATTTGCATAACAATATAAACAGACATAAATATTTGTTTGTAAAACGACATTCTCTGATAAAACGTTGTAAACGCCTATGGTAAACACAGCGGTTTTGCCCTCAAAGATGGCGTCTCCGGGGAGGTCACGTGACAATTTTTTTGCCTGTGGGAACTATGTATACTAGGGTGATCATATTCATGTCGCTATGTTTTATTATGACAGATAATAAAACACAGACAGATGAAATAATGATCGAAATAATGCCTTCTGTATTAGAAAAATAAATATATAAATAATAAATAACTAAAAGAAATGCCTCCAAATATAACAAAAAAATAGCTCTCAGAAACTTAGCCTACAAAAAGAACTAACAAAATCTATTTATAGCTTTAGTTTTCATCCTCTTTATCTTGTTTTTCTTCCTCATCCACCTTGTTTGCCCATCTATATTTTGCTGTAGAACTGATCTTTCCCAGCAGTTTTTTTGAAAACCAGGACATTTTCATCACTTAAAAAACAGCCAGGACAGGACGTGAAAACAGGATGTGTAACGCAAAGTTGAGATGTTGCCCAGAGATAAAAACATAGCGCTAGTTGTCGGATGAACAGATGCACGAGAGTTGTCGTATTTGCCCGCGTTTAATAAAACCACTCAAACGTCACACTCGACCTCATACATGGGGATCGAGCGAGAAAAAAAACACAAACAAACTTCAAACTCTGGTCACAATAGAAAAATAAAATAAAAGAAAGAATACAAAGAGTCGGCAAAGCGGTTATCTCCTCTCCTCACTTGTCAAAATCTAACTGACACTACGCACACTATGCGCAGTTCTCATCTCAACTCAGATTTCTATAAAAGCACAAAGTGACCGTTACACATGTCCCGTGAAAACAGGACTGTTGGTCACCCTACTATACTTTTTTTACAGAAATAATATAAATATTATCATAGCTCTTTATGCTCCAACATTCGTCGTGCCCATAGGTATCTTGCCTTGTAGGCTATATCTTCTTCGCCGTATGTGTGCTCATCAAGGCCGGTTTTGTGTTTGAGCACCCCCAAGCTGTGTTTTACTGTAACTTCAGAAGTACCAGACACGTGAGCAAACCCGGCAATCTTGTTGGTCGGATAGTTTTTGACGTGGGCGCGTCAAACCAAAAAAACGAACCCGAGGCATTTTTAAAAAAATTTCGCGTCGGTGTGAACACTCACATTGGCGGCCATTGTTTAGTCACGAGGCGTTAAACGTCGACGAATATCGCTTGCGAAATTTGTCCCGGTGTGAACAGGCCTTTAGACTTTTAGAACGCACATTAGCTTATTTTCCATCAACCGCTTAAAGGCACACTGCGGAACTTTTGGCCACTAGTAGCGCTCGACCTGTAAATTTCACGTCCAGCGTCTCTAGAGGCCCAAGCTCCGCAGCACTGTCGCAAAAGTCAACAAACAGTCAACCGTGACGAAAACATACAGACGGCAATCTAACGCGAGTTGAACAATAACGTCAGAATCTGAGGAAGTTGTGGGTGGTTGGGGAAGTGACGTATGCCGTGAAGCGGTTTCATTTTGTAGTGCTCCGGATCCTACCCGAAACCCGAAAGTTACATAGTGCTAGTAAAAGCGACACAAGTCGGTGTACTCAATGGGTTTTGGTAATATATTGTTACGGTCCCTTGTCTAGGTCAGACAGTAACATAAACACCAACACCAATTCCTTCAGTTAGCTTGAATTTATTATCATTCTAGATTTGTTTAAAAGCAGCATTGCTTATCATTCACCAAAACAATATCTTGAAAATAAATGAACAAAGAAAACAAACAGGAAAAAGATTAGAAGCAAGATCTTCAGGGGTGAGCTAATGCCAAAATAATAAACCAAACAGAACTAACTTTCCCCGAATAAACTACCTTACCTATGAATGAAAAGAAAAGAAAAGAAAACATGCAATGGGATAACCTACCTCCTTAACTAACAATAAACAGGAGAAAAACAACGGCCTTTTGGCCTACAAAAGAAACATGGCACTCACCCCCTACGGCTTCTCAAATAATCAGACACATACAGATGAGATCATCAACACTGGCGTTTTGATACAAATCACTCAGGATCAATAACCATACAAGAGCACATTTATCACATGATTGGGCTACATTTTCACAAAGAGCAAA